TATGGTAATTAATGGATCATTTATAGAAGTGTATAAATTTAGTTTTCACTTTAAAATCTAAATGATTATTTTATGCGACAACGTTTGACAATGTGGTTCATGCCACTAAGTGTGGTCACTGGCCATACCTATGCTTTCACACTTAAGGAACAGACGGTATCTAATGCATTATGCATGTTCATCCTTTCTTATGGCATAATTATAGCCCACCCACTTTATATTTTCAGGTATTGTTTTAAAAGTAAATTTTATTCTTTTCTTAAATACTTGTGATAAATTTATACAAAATCATTGTTTCACGCATCACAGCCACATGTCTATTAGTATTGTATATGGTACGACCCGTAATTTAAGTTGATTGAAATCACAAAAACAATCGAATAATTTAGTCAGCGATGTTATCGGTTAAGGTGATGGTGGAATTTCAGCGTTGTCGTCACGTTGGTCATTGACTGCTGCGTAATAACTCACTCAAATTCAACAAACAAATATACGGAAAATAGTAATGCAACTACAATATTTCGATCCTTTATGGAAAAGAAGAAGTTTTAATCATATTTAACTTTGGATATGAATTTTGTCTCGACCAAAATTTTAAAGCTACCTTTTCGAGAGCTTTTGCATTTCTCCGGATCCTTCTGATGCCAAGAGTTCGCGTGACGCTTTTCTCCTATCCGTTTTATTCTTTTACCCTTTGAACTTTGCCGATTGTTGCTGCTTGTATCTTTTTTTTGTTTTTAAACTTAACTTGAGAAAAAAAAAAATCAATAAACAGTTCTGAGTATAACTAGGATTTTCTAAGCCTTTGAAATCTTTCTCACTATGTGTTTTCAAAAATTGTTCTCAACCATGTTGGAAAAGAAAATGGGCAGTAGATTATTGACCAACAAAATTCATTTGGATAAATCTTTCAATCTTAAATATAAACATATTAAAAAAAGACCTTCTTCGAGAACATATTATGCAATTACGATTCCTTTAAGGCCATGACTGAATCCATGGAGTAGGTATTTTGATTGATATTTTGAATCCATGAAGCTTTTATTGATATTTTGAATTATTGTTTGTATTATTCAGGTTATTTCCGCCATAAAAAGGGGTTGGATGAATATAGGGAGGGGATTAAGCAAGAGGTAATTAAAAGAAACCTAATTATGGAAATTTCTTTCGTTTAGTTTGTTCGTTAATTGATTATGGAATTGCAGTGCTTGTAAGACATTAGATTACTCTGTACATTACAACAAGCATTAATATATATAGAGTTTCTGCTGCTTAAGAAGCGAAAGTGTACTATGAATTTCAGTCTTCTCTCTGTCTTTTTCAGCTTGAGAGGAGGTTGTCTGTTGGAAATTCTCCAGAGATGGCAATGGCAATGGCAATGGGGGATTGAGATATTTCCTTTTGAAAGCAAAATCCAAGTATTTCCTTTTGAAAGCAAAATCCAAGTTAAAATAATTGTCTTGGAGTATACTAAATGATCAATGAATATAGAACCATACAAGATATATTAAACTTTTATTTTGTTCCTATAAAATAACAATAATTTAAACTCTTAATTCGATCGGTTGGACCGGTTGAGAGATTCACTAGCCATCCAAGAATACTCCACATCGAACTCTGTTCCGGGTTTCAAAACATCGACGAGTTAAATCATGAGATAACTTTTTTGTACGAGGAAAGCTAAAGCTAAACGTATTAATTGATCATGCTTGTCTATTTCTTATTGAAAAAACGTGACGTTTGACCGGCATAAATTAGTTATAGTAAGTTAAGAAATGAAATGAAAAAAATCATACTCCATCAGTTTCAAAATATAAATTGTTTTAGAAGTTTTTTTTTTGTTTTAAAATGTAAGTTAGTTTGACAACACTAGGTACTTTTTAATTTTATTGAATATTATGTGATAACTGATATTTTGCAGTTTTTTTATGTGATTAGTCAAATGATTTATATTAAGTATATTAAATAATATTTTTTAATAAAAAAATAATTTTTTAATATTCGTGTTTTTAATTAAAATAACTTACCAGAAAGATTATATATTCAAATGGGCCGGCGTTCTTCGCATGCTTGAGCCGAAACATATGGTAAGACCGACCATGCATACATGCATTACCACTACTAGTATTCGTTTTTTTTTGTTCAGAAAATTCGAGTATTATATAGATAAAC